CGAAAAATTTCACCTCTTGGAAATCGTTGACGCCAACCGAATTGACCGCATCGGTTATGTCTTGATCCGTTGTCCACTGTTTGTTTGTTCAATGAAAATGAAAATGAATTACACAAAGGACGCACAATTATTGTAATGCTCACAACTCAATCGATGGCAAACAATTGAAATGGAAATAAACAATAATTGCATTGCAACACTAACCCATGTTAAATTGCCGACGTACAATTGATGGCGCCGCCCTGGATGATTCGGTGCGAACGTGTTGCCCATGTGTGAGTAGCTACCGTTGGCATCATTACCATCTGGTCGTTCGGTTGGTGGAATTGACCCATTCTCATTATCATTGCGTTCGTGAGGCTCGGATGAAGGAGCTGCAACTACGTCATCATACAAATCATCATCACCACCATAGTCGCCATCCTGTTAACCAAAAACCAGTGAACAAACATTCGCATCAATTGATAAAGCCAAACAAGTACGCATATTATGTGACGCAGGTTATGAATTACGCACATTTTCCAAGGGAAATGCTATTACGTACGACAAACTCAAAGAAAATTGGCTGGTTACAGCATAATATTGATACATTTTTAATTTATGCATACCTTCATTTGCGTAAAATTCTGGTCAATATCATCCGAGTATAAATCAATATCTACACCATCGGCCATGTTTGACTGTTTTTTTTTTCTTTCGACTTTTCCTCTTGTTACTTGTAGGTATGTTCAATGCACCCACAAACAAGCGATAGAAAGAAAAAAATATACACGAGTAATAGTTCTTCCCTTTGTCTCTCTCCGTTCCAATACAACTATCTACTTTGTTTCACTCTTTTGCGCTCTCTTTTCTTTATTTTAACTCGACTGCACCGGTTCACCAAGTTAAACCAAAAAAAAAAATTCTCTGAATGTTGAATATTCTTTCGTTCGTAAAATCAAGTGTTTCCGCACAAAACAACACTTCAATTCAATTTCTTTTTTGAACAATATTCGTGTAAATGATAAAATAATCCAAAAAAAAATGGCTCGATTGTATTTTATTTGACGATGAAAAAATATTTATGTGGATGCCATACTCTAATCGCCGACTGCCGCCATTAGAATGAAAATTTACAGTAAATGAAAGCCAGTACCATGATGCCAAATGATGTTGGTATGAGTGAATTTCTGTACATGTATGCGTTTGTGCGTACATGAGATCAGCGCCAAAACGATGTAAACGTACAACTTGTGTCAGATGGTGGAACGTTACCAAAAAAATACGCAGACTCGGTGGTGGCGCTCTATTCAAAAGTTATTCGAAAAATATATTCAATATATTTTTTTCGTCTGATTTCACCCCATAAACAAATTGATTTGCGAATGATCGAATTGATGGAATTTTAAATTGTGTTGAAGATGTGCATGGAAATTGTGTTTAGTTCTGAAAACATTGTGTTTATCTGTGCATTGTTATATTGAGCGTTGCATTTGACAGTATATAGACTTATCAAATTTGACACTTCGCATCGAATGAGATTGAAAGAGAATCGACGAAAGAATACGGGTTGGGTGTTTATGTGTAAATGTTGAAGATACGGGAGAGAGCGCCCACATGCATGTGCTACGAAGGATGCGATTGATAGATTGCGGCAGTACAAAATGCTTGAGCATCGACTGTGAATATTTAGTCGTCGACCTAACCAAGAGTCGAATACTGAGCGCGATTTGATTTATCGCTGCCACATCGAAAATCACATCGACATTCTGTTAGATTTTTTTTTTTAAATTCCAGTCAATCAATTCGGTGACACTGTTTCGCAAGTAATTTTATTAACTAACAATTGTTCTCATCTAATCTCATTAAAAGTTATGTCAGTTGCAACGCATTTTACGGAAATCACTAGACAAAAATGACCATTTTCATGCGACTGTCTGTTCTTGTACGATGGCAACAGACGTCAGTAGAAAAAAACGATCTCCATCAAATGTATCATATTGGCGGCCAATATACCAAGCTGCTATCTATTCAATAAAAACGATTATGATTGGCGGCACGCCATCGTGATTATGTAAAACCTGTTACAGTTTTTCAATTTGAAGGTCAATTCAATTGGATTGGATAGTAATTTATTTATTATGCTTTTACGGTATACTATTTCCTTTGTCTGTGTTCACTGAAATTGATATTCACTGGGGCTTAAAGATGAAGAGAGCAAGATATAGATCACGAAGAGATCGGTGCCAAATGGAAATGTATCACCGTGAAGTTTGTTTTCTTTTTTTTTCTTTTTTGAAATATCATGCGCTTTGTGTTTATGCAGACAGACAGAATTCTCTTGAGCGATTTAGTAATTGATTAATGAGAGTGACGGATTGTTAGGCCGCATCTCATACACACCCGATTGAATTCAAGACACATTGCATTGATGTAGGTTTCATAACACTGTGCAACATTTTTTCGGCCATCGATGCGGGCATAAGTTTTGAGTATCGCTGCTGAAAGTACTTACCTAAACTAGATATTCTGCATCATTCGTTTTGTCAATTTGGCTCAGATTTTTTTAAAATAAAATCGTGTATTTTTTGCTCAAACTGGATTTTGAGCACTTTTTTGATATTTTCACAAGGCTATATCTCGGTGAACCGTAGGGAATATTGTTTTTGTGTCTTCAGCAAAGTTTTAGGTATTAAATAGGAGAAAAAAAATGCAAAACAAACTTACCCCAAAAAAAGGCATCTAGGGCCTCAAAATCGCAAAAATGCCCATTTTTTACCATTTTTCAACCATAACTCGCAGCGTATCCAATTTTTATGGCCTTTATCTTCAACAAATTTGTAGCCAACGTATAACTGGACAACTTTGCTCAACATTCTAACCCAAGAAAATCATGTTCTATTTACCTTTTTGGCTCAAAATCACTCTTTGGTACCAAAAATGGTCAATTTGTTGTGAATTTTGGCCTATTACATGCAAATATCTATATATATTTCCACATTTTTTGCTTGGATTTTCATTGAAATGTCTCTGCAGATAATGTGGACTTGTTTTTCAGCTATTTTAGTGGAAAAAATCTCTAATTTGCAGGGATATGTCGAGTTTTGAACCGATTTTTGAGCGTTTGGTGGACATTTGGCCAAATGAAGTCATAACAACAGCCATATTTCAGTTTCTAATGTATGCTACACTAAAGCTCATGTTCACAGCTAAAAAATGGGGCCAATACGATTCACCTATGATGTCCAGTTTTGAAGTTATGGCTCCCCAAGTGATGACATGTCAACTTTTTGCACTATTTTGGCACTAATCATCACTTGAGCAGCCATAAGTACCCTACTAGACGACATAGGCATGTGTAATTAGGATTATTTTTCAGCTAAGAACATCAGCTTTAAAATGCCATACCGCTTAAACTGAAATATATCATCTGTCATGACTAATGGTCCCATCCGTCAGCCATTTGGCCTGACATTCAGGATTTTTTGAGCAAAAATTGCTGTCAGGGCCTGTGTCAGACAGGTTTGGTTTTTCGAGTTTTTGTCAGGCTTGCCAGGCTTTTCAGCTCAATGCAAATTTCAATACAAAAAGAAATGTATATATACATGGAAACAAAAATCACAGACGAAAAAAATGAAAAGAAAACAGTGGATATACTGTTTACATTGGCTATGAGACAACGAACTTTTCATAAATCGATTATGTACACAAATTGTAACAATCAGCATAAATCTTTATTGCAGTTTATTTACTTTTATCAAAACTGTTCGTTTGCCTCATATGCTATGAATCACATTTCATATTGCTTTCACAGTAACGGCACATTCGTTCTTTATATACGTCGCTGAATTTGTTTATAATCCAAAACGGTTGCATAAACAAATTGAGCCACCAAAATATATGAATTTAACGTAAGTATAAGTTTTTAGTCATAGAGTGTTAGCGAGTTTTGCGTTCGTTTGTGTGTGAGCAAATGATTCTAAAATGGATTACTTTTGATGATATTCATAAACTTTGTTTCAATTTTTGAATTAAGTCGTATTTTTGACTCTGAAAAATGAAAGAAAAAACGTCAGCCTTTTTGTCAGACTTTTGCTTCTCGTGTGTCTTAAACATGACAGGTTTTTGAGCCAATTTTGGCCTGAAAATCAGGCTCTTTCACCAAAAATCGATGGGACCATTAACCTTAGAACCGTGAAACGGGCACTGAGTGCCCAAGACCAACTTTAAACACTTATATCTTTATCATTTTTCATCATAAATGATTTACACAAAGATGGTTCGATTTGTTGAACATTTGACTACATGAATTGCGCTAACATACTCACATACGCATACTACATCATCACATATGTGCATAAGCATGTGTGATGCGCTATACGTGAAACGGGTGCCTGAGTGCCCAAAGTGCATTTTTGTATGAAAACTAAAGTGTGATATGAGATAAAAGATTTGTGTCTTGAGCAAAGTTATAGAGCATGTCAAGTACTA